TGTACTTGCATTCAGGTTGATTTTTGATAAGAAACATGCTAACTGGAAACTTTTTTCATAAATGCGATGGAAATAATATGAGATTTTTAAAGGAATAAATGGATGCAGGAGAAAATCAAGGCCAAAATCCTATTGCGTAAGTTACGCCAGTGTAAGGCAAACAGTGCCGCCTGCTGGGCTACTTAAGGAACTTCGGTTCAGTCTTCCAGGTGGTCTGCAAAGACTGGCAACGCATGTGCAACAAGATTATCTTTAAGCAATGAAGAATTAATTCAGAGACTCTTTAATTAGCAGCAATCTTCCTGTGCAGGTGGCATTATTTCTCTTATGCTGGCATAATTTATGCGAGAGAATTCTGACCTGTGCAGGCAGGTAGAGGTTCTTGCCCACTTGCTTCTTTCACTCTGTGTTTTGACTCCACCGCCCTTGTGGTGCTCAATCAATACTGCCCCTTCTTTCTGACAGGTTGTTATGTTGAAAAGTGCATGTTTGGTAGGCATAATATGCCCCCCCCACCCCAACCAGTGGAAAATGAAACAAATCTGACCCTGCTGAATTTTGCCAGCACAGAGCATTGACAATTTCTCTTTTTAAAAAATCCTTTTTTAAACAAGAACTTACTAAAATTCACAGGGTTTGTGGGTTGGTTTGACCATAGATGGGACGGCTCGAGCTCCATGTTCTGGTCACAACCACCCATTCAAGGGCAAGACAAGGGGGAGCGGATGCAGAAGCCACAGTGGCAGAGTCGAGCAGACCAAACACAACGTTCCCTCCGGCAGCCTACAGTGGGGTCTTGACTTGAGAACTTAATCCGTATTGGAAGGCGGTTCTCAAGTCAAAAAGTTCTCAAGTCAAATCTGCATTTCCCATAGGAATGCATTGAGAACCATTTAATCCGTATCTGCTCTTTTCTGTCCATAGAAACTAATGGGAAGCTGCTATTCTGCCTTCTGCCACTAGAGGGGGATATTTTGTTTCTTTTTTTCTTAGGTCAAGAAAGGTTCAGGGAAGGCAGGGATCTGACCCTGCTGAATTTTGCCAGCACAGAGCATTGACAATTTCTCTTTTAAAAAATCCTTTTTTAAACAAGAACTTACTAAAATTCACAGGGTTTGTGGGTTGGTTTGACCATAGATGGGACGGCTCGAGCTCCGTGTTCTGGTCACAACCACCCAGCTGCCGGGGACATTCAAGGGCAAGAGAAGGGGGAGCGGATGCAGAAGCCACAGTGGCAGAGTCGAGCAGACCAAACACAACGTTCCCTCCGGCAGCCAACTTGTTTCCATCGTAAAAGCCACGGAAAGGCAAAAAGCCTGACCACCTGGGCAGAGATGCAGCCTGTTAGGAGAGGCACGGGTCTGGATCCATTGCTGGATTCTCATGCATCTATCTGGGAGGCAAAAGATGCCCACAGCAATGCGAACCTTGCACTTCAAGGATGGGAGAAAAAGACTCCTGCAGTCTGTTCTACCTCAAAGGGTCGCAAATGCAATAACACGGATTTGTCACAGTAGTATGGCACATCATTGCTCACAGAATATATTTCATGAGGACCAGCCCCAGGTTCTGTTTCTCTTGATGGACGGGCCATTCGTGAAGAAGAGAAATCTTGAACTTCAATTGCAAACCCAACCGTTGTGGAAGCTTTGACGTTGTTGTTTAAATCACTGGTTCTTAACCTTGGGTTACTCAGGAGTTTTGGACTGCAACTCCCAGAAGCCTTCACCACCAACTGTGCTGGCTGGGGTTTCTGGGAGTTGCAGTTCAAAAACATCCGAGTAACAAAGGTTAAGAACCACTAATCACGGGATGTATAGCAAAGATCTCGCAATCAGGCCCCCCGAGCAGGCCAGCCTAGGAAATGAGCCACACCAGTCCGGGGGGTTGGGGGAGGCAGCTACGGGTCCGAAACGAACTAATATTAAAAACCGCAGCAAACGGTCATTGAGAAAACAAGAACAGGAAGGGGAATAAAAGGTAACCACAGTTTTATCCTCCTCATCCTCTTAGAACTGCTTCCAACAACAAAAACCACCCCCCTTCAGTGTTCAGGAAGAATAAAAACAGAACGTTTCAGAGTTTGTCTCTGGGTGGGTGGGGGGAATATCAGCAACTCTGCAGTGGAACAGGCTGATGCAATTCACCACCACCATATTTCCTGTGGGAGTGAAACCTCTCTCAGCTCCTTGGGAATCTTCACTCTTCAGCTTGTCCTCAGGATCCCGCTTTTCAAAGGCCTCACTAAGGATCTCTGTGGAAAGCAAACTTCAGCTGCAGGACCCCAAAGAGGACCGTAGAGAGGTGCTTGGCTTTAAGAGCTGCTCCGTTTGCATCCAAACTGGAACAAATAAAAAATTGTTCCTCCCTGGGACACCTCTTCACAAAACTGAAATGCTCAATGCAAGTGCTGGGCGACTTCATGAGCACGGGGGGAAAAAAGCTTTTAGTAAGGGACACGACACTGTTTTGATGTGGTTTTAGTTTGTTTCGAATTGTTTTAAGTCAATGACAATCTAATATTATTATAGTTGAAATCCTATTGGTACTTACAGAGGAAGTCTATACCTTGCTGAGGCTGAATTCATCAAACAGAAGGTGCATCGTGGTGGTCCTTTCAGGCACATGACCAGGCAAGTGGCCAAGATACACATCAGCAACTCATCAGTTGATCATCATTCGCTACGACATGTTATGCAAATCGTATGTCAACGCTAATAGGATACTGGACTGTGCAGCAAAGCTGCAGCTGCCACCGTTTGCAGTACTTGCACGAAGATGTTGTTAGCACAATATTGGTTAATGTGCA